CTCAGGAAACAAAGAAAAGTTTCATGGGATGTACATTTTATAAGGGTTATGTGTCATATATACTTAAGACAGAAAAGAATGTAAGTTTTCTTTCCAACATCTTCTTGCTTGCTTTGATTTGTCTCTGATTTATGATACACCAGATTGATTCAGACTTTCAAATATTGTAATCATTAATCTTTGCCAGGGAAGTGATACATTTTACCAGGTGACTGATTCAAGAGTAACGGTTTTTTGTTGTTGTTGTGCTGCCTGTATACTGCCGGACTGACTTGGTGGCCAGGGCGTTGGCTTAGTCCCATTGTTTTCACTTTTTGTTTCACTACTCTTTTCTCGTATCCTTCCTTTTTGTTTTTTCGTCGTCTACTTTGCTAGTATCCTTTTTCAATTCTCATTTCTTTTTTAATGCTTCTTTTTTATTGTAAAAATATACATAATACAACATTTGCCAGTTCAACATTTTTCAGGTGTCCAGTTTAGTGATATCAATTATATTAATTATGTTGTACAGCCGTTACCCTTAATTGATGCCAAATTTCCCATCACCGTAAACAGAAACCCACTGCCTCCCAACAATGGTTCCCCTTCTCTCCCTCCGTCCCGCCCCTGGTAACCAGTAATAAATATTGTTCTCCATACATTTGCCCATCTTTTAATGCTTCTTAACCAATCACCCCATCTTTGCTTTATCTCCTTTTATTAAGAATATGAAATATAAATTGCATGATGATGTTTACTTCATAGGTTTAGGAACTATAATATCTGGTCATGTTGCACCTGAGGATGTATATGTGAATTATTAACAGAATAGGAATGCCATAGGTATAATCATATTTCATTACTTCTTGGTTTGTGTATTGGGAACTAGTTCAAGTTTTTTGTATAAGGTTGTGTGACTGTTCTCCCCCAATATAGTCATTGGAAAGGCAAGAAATACTTTTGATTTTTGTCTCATAGCAATTAGGAACCAAATTTACACATTTGGTAAGTATCTTCCTGTGAAGTAAAATCACATGTATTTGGCAAAGAATGGATTGGAATGGATGAGACTATCTGGTAAACCAGCTTCTGTTTTACATGAGCTACGACTTGCCAACACACTAAATATCTAAGTACTATCCTTTCTTCAGTAGATTTACTTGTGCAAATATCTTACTTATCAAAAGGCTATAGTTTTTCTTCATGAGCCCTAAGTACACTGAACTGTAAGCTTAAACCTCATTTCCTCATTTGAAATGCTAAACTTCCTTCTCTGGACTTTCCAATGATGATCTACTGGGAGGAGAGTCAGAATGAATAAGCAAAGTATCTGTCGACTACTTCTTCCAAAACGGTGTGTCTAAAACATGAATAACTACGTAATCTGGGGAGGAAGGGCTGTTGGGCTAGTGGTGTATGGTAAAGACGTTGCTCTCTGGATTTCCAACATTGCCAAATTTGTCTAACAAATGTCCTTGAAATGGCGACCATGTAATTAACTGCAGAATTAATGGAAGTCTGTAGTTATTTTGGGGGCCCTGGTGGTGCAGTAGTTAAGAGCTCGGCTGCTAAT